ATAGGGAGCCATCTGGATGCTCGACTGATAACTGTTGTAGTAGGCAAACTCCGCTAACAGCAAGAACTGATCCCAAGAACCTCCAAAGTCAATAACACAAGCGCAGAGCATATCCTCGAAGATCTGAATAGTACGCTCGGACTGTCCGTCCGTCTGAGGATGAAATGTTGTGCTTAACTCGACCGGTGTACCCAACTCACGCTGTACTTCCCTCTAGAAATACGAGGTAAACTGCGTACCTCGATCAGAAATGATAGACACGGGCACACCATGAAGACGAACGATCGCACGGATATAAATCTCTATCAACCGCTCCGAAGAATAGGAAACTGCCAAAGGAATGAAATGCGTTGACTTGGTCAGTCTATCCACAATAACCAAAACTGCATCGAACTTCCTCTGAGTCCGTGGGAGTCCAACAAAGAAATCCATAGTGATACGCTCCCATTTCCACTCAGGAATCTCTATATTCTGAAGCAAACCACCAGGTCTCTGATGCTCGTACTTTACTTGCTGACAATTTAGACACCGAGCTACATATGAAATAATATCCTTCTTCATCCTCCTCCACCAATAATGCTGCTGCAAGTCTTGATACATCTTGGCAGTGCCCGGATGAATAGAATACCGAGAACTGTGAGCCTCCTCTAGAATCAACTCACGAAGTCCATCCATATTAGGCACACAAACACGACCCTGCATCCTCAAAACTCCATCATCTTCAACCGTAACCGGCTTGGCATCACCGTGCCGCACTGTGTCCCTAAGGACAGGCAAATAAGGGTTATCATACAGCCGCTCCCTGATACGCTCAAACAAGGAAGATCAAGTGACTGTGCAAGCTAAAACACGACTGGGCTCAGAAATATTCAACCTCACGAACTGATTGGCTAAAGCCTGAACATCTAATGCAAGCGGTTTCTCACCGACTGGAATGTACACAATGCTGCCCATACTAGCTGACTTCCTACTTAAAGCATCGGCTACCACATTGGCCTTACCGGGATGATACAAGATGGTGATATCATAGTCTTTCAATAGCTCCAACCACCTCATCTGCCTCAAATTGAGCTCCTTCTGCTTGAACAAATACTGCAAACTCTTATGATCCATTGACACCTCACATGATACGCCATATAGATAGTGCCTCCAAATCTTCAGTGCGTAAACAATGGCTGCCAGCTCCAAGTCATGATCAGGATAATTCTTCTCGTGAACCTTTAGATGTCGTGAAGCATATGCAATAACCTTTCCACCCTGCATCAATACCGCACCAATTCCAATACGATACGCGTCACAATATACTGTATAAGGCCCTGAACCTATGGGAAATACCAACACCGACGCTGTAGTCAAAGCTGTCTTGAGTTTCTGAAAGCTCGCTTCACACTCGTTCGACCATCTGAACGGGCACCCTTCTGGGTCAACCTGGTCATCGGGGATGCAATAGATGAGAACCCCTCCACAAACTGACGGTAATAACCCGCCAATCCCAAGAAACTCCAGATCTCTGTAGCTGATGTGGGTCTAGGCCAGTCCTTGACTGCCTCGATCTTCTTAGGATCCACCTGAATACCCTCTGCTGATACAATGTGACCCAAGAAAGCAACTGAACTCAACTAAAACTTACATTTTGAAAACATAGCATATCACTGTCTGTCTCTTAGAGTCTGAAGAACGGTCCGAAGGTGCTGCTCATGCTCTTCTCGACTGCGGGAGTAGATCAAGATATCATCAATAAAAACAATCATAAAGGAATTCAGATAGGGTTTGAACACCCGCTTCATCAAATCCATGAATGCCACTGGGAATTTGTCAAGCCAAATGACATCACCAGGAACTCATAATGCCCATATCAAGTCCGAAAAGCTGTCTTAGGGACATCGGATGCCCTAATCCTCAACTAATGGTAGCCAGACCTCAAATCAATCTTCAAAAACACCTTGGCACCTTGAAGCTGATCAAATATGTCATCAATCCTCGGCAATGGATACTTGTTCTTGATGGTGATTTTGTTCAACTGCCGATAGTCTATGCATATCCTCATCGATCCATCCTTCTTCTTTACAAACAACACCGGTGCACCCCAGGGCGAGACACTAGGTCTAATAAAGCCTTTATCAAGCAAATCCTGCGACTGCTCCTTCAACTCTTTCAACTCTGGCGGGGCTATGCGGTATGTCAGAATGGAAATGGGCTGAGTTCCCAAAGCCAAATCAATGCGAAAGTCAATATCCCTATCAGGTGGCATCCCCGACAGGTCTGCAGGAAATACCTCTAAGAACTCCTGAACAATTGGTATAGAATCCATGGAAGGAACCTCCACACTAGAATCACGAACATAAGCCAAATAAGCCAAACACCCTTCTCGACCATACGCCGAGCCTTCATATAAGAGATAACCCTGCTGGTAGAATGAACAGGAGTCCCTCTCCACTCTAATTGAGGCAACCCCGACAAGACTAAGGTCATGGTCTTGGCGTGACAGTCCAATATAGCATGATAAGGTGACAGCCAATCCATCCCCAAAATGACATCAAAATCGACCATATAAGTAGGAGATCTACGCTAGTCTCAAGACCCCCAATACTAACCACACACGAGCGATAGACACGATCCACAACAATAGAATCCCCCACCGGCGACACATACACGGGAGCACTCAAAGAATCACGAGGCACAACCAAATATGAAGCAAAGTAAGATGACACATAGGAGTATGTAGACCCTAGATCAAATAGAACTGAAGCATCTCTACTGCAAACTGAAACAGTACCTGTGATAACAGCATCGGATAACTCAGCCTCATGCCTGGCTGGGAAAGCATAACACTGGGGCTGGGCCCCACCACTCTGAATCATATATCTGGGACGGCCCCCTGCTGGCTGGCCTCCACCTCTAGTGGCCTGGCCTCCACCTCTAACGGCCTGACCTCCACCTCTAGCGGCCTGACCTCTACCTCTGGCTCCCTAACCCCTACCTCTAACTGGCTGAGTGAGCGGTGGCGTGCCCGGTGCCGAAATCATGGCACGAGAACGCTGCTGCTGTGGGGGAACGCCCACTAATCTCGGATAGGTCCTCCGGATATGCCCATAATCACCACACTCGAAACATCCATCCTGATACTGTGGCTGTGGAAACTAAGACTGAACCAGGCGAGTATACTAACTACGATAATAACTATGAAGAGGAGGTGCTCTCATCGTAGCTGGTGGTGCACTATTAGCTGGCTGCCCGAAGAAGGTACAAAAGGACCACGACTCCCTGAAGCTCCATGGGATGTCTGAAGTGCTGAATGAAACGGCCTGGGAGGATGGCCCCTACCAAAAGCAGCTCGACCACAAAATGAGGCCCCACTAAATCTACCGGAGTGACGCGGCCTCTTGTCAGACCCCTGACCACTCCCCTGAGCTAGAACCATCTCAACTCATCTTGCCACATTGGCTGCATCCTGTAAAGAAATCTCACTACCCGTCTCCTTAGCCATCTGCAATCTGATAGGCTGAGAAAGTCCCTCAATAAACCTCATCACCCTCTCTCTCTTGGTAGGAAGTATAAGAATAGCATGACGGGCCAAATCAATAAAGCGGTCTCGTATTGAGTGACGGACATACTGCCCTGCTGGAGACGCTCGAACTGCCTGCGATAGTCCTATCTTAGTGTAACAGGAAGGAACTTCTCAAGAAATATCTGAGAGAACTGGTCCCAAGTCAAAGCAGGTGACCCAGCTGGTCTAGTCAACATACAATTATTCAACCATCTCTTGGCAGACCCTATCATCTGGAACACAGCAAAATCAACCCTATTGGTCTCCACTATCGCCATGTTCCGCAGCACCTCATGGCAGCGGTCAAGGTAATCCTGTGGGCCCTCAGAAGCTGCCCCACTGTAATGAACTGGAAAGAGCTTGGTGAACTTGTCCAACCTCAACAAGGCCTCAGAAGACATAGCTGATCCATCACCGGTTTGTGCTACAACACCCGGTGAAACTGCCCTAACTGGCTGGGCTGCTGGAGTCTGAAACTAGGGATCCATCTGCTCCGGAGTGTGAGTAGCGGGAGTCTAAGCTCCTCCCCCAGCCCGAGAGAAGGCTGGTGCTACAGGAAAGGTGCCGGTCTGAGCAACACTCTCCATAAGGCCCACTGATGGACCAAAGCATCCTGTAGAACTGGGGTAGCGATGAACCCCTCTTGAACCTGAGTTGGCCCTCTTAGAACGGTCTGGGCTGGAGCCTCCTCATCAAACTCTACCTGAGGCTCCGCCGCTGGTGCTGGTGCTCGAGCTCTAGGCTGAGTCCTGCCCCTGCCTCGGCCTCTAGCACGGCCTCGGCCTCTGCCCCTCGTGGGAGCTGCCACTGGGGCTCTGGCTACTGCTCAGCTGATGAAGCGGTACGTGTTCTCGCCATCTGCGAAGGAACAAGAGTAGAGAGTTTAATTAGCATTGAGCGATCAAATCGGACGACGGAGAAGAATAGAAGTGAAATTGTTCCTAAACTCTGTAGCCTCTGGGGTATAAGCACAGACATCTCCGTACCGATCCCTCAGACTATAATAAGCTTGTCCGTGAATTGTGAAACCTAGACAACCTACTGCTCTGATACCAACTTGTCACGACCCGGAATTCCCACCATCGGGACCATGATGGCGCCTAACATCACACTTACTAGGCAAGCCAACGTTAGAGTATTACTAACCAATTTCCTTTACGATTCAGCGAATAAAAGTAAACAAGTTAAAACAAGTGATCATAATTGCGGAAGTAAGTAAGCAGCTTCTTTGTTTACAAACTATTGCCAGAACTATTTCTACTACTACCGAGAATCAAGTGTTACAATCCACGAACATACTATGATTTTCTACAAACATCAGTCTGAAAGAAATTACAACTGTTTTGAAAATAATGAAAACAGTAATGTAGAGAGGTAGAAGGGGAAGCCAGGGCCTGCGAACACCAGCAGGACTACCTTGGGTTTCCACACCGTGTAACCTGAAGCCGACCTCTCAGTCAGCCACTGTCTGCTCCGTAATCTGTACAGAAAGTGCAGAGTGCAGTATCAGTACAACCGACCTCATGTACTAGTAAGTGCCGAGCCTAACCTTGACGAGGTAGTGACAAGGCTACGGGGGGCATTTACAATATAACATGCATAATAAAACGGAAAGAAGAACGAAATAAAATAAAATATTAACTTGCAAGAAAGGAATACAGAACTCAAGTATCTCATCAGTACCCAGTTATATCCAATCCTTAAGTGAAACGCAAAAACTATAGAATAACTTACACAGTAGAAGAAAGATACAAAAACACATGAACTGATGCGGCGCGCTTCCCGATCCCACCATATAATCAATATCAATATGAATGTTCACCCTTATTACGTCATATCAATCCACCCTTATTTCTCCTATTGCGGCGTGCAACCCGATCCCACCATACAATAGTAATTTACCCTTATTTCTTCTCAATATACCACCCTTATTACTCCTGTTGCGGTACACAACCCGATCCCACCATGTAATAGCGTTTCACCCTTATTCCTCCTCAATATATCACCCTTATTCCTCATGTTGCGGCTTGCAACCCGATCCTACCATATCAGTACTAATAACACAATAAGAATAGGAATTTTTACAAATTTAGCCCAAAACTCTCCATAATATTTAAACCTCAAACTAAAGCAAACGGAAAGCTGTACAAATATGAGACTTCACTCAAATTATACTATTCAGCAAAACCAATCCAAAATATACCATAAAACACCGATAACTGACTTGAGCCAATAATACGAGACAATGAAACTACAGAATAACTAATACCTTAAACCATGAAAACAATGTGTGACAAGTAGCAAATAAACATGGAAATACCATTGAAACATGTGGCAGTTAAGGCAGGAAACAATATATTATAAACGGGAAGGAAACATGCAAAACAAACAAATTGGCAGCGCATAGGTACTCGTCACCTCACCTATACGCCAGACACATGGATTTTCACATAGCAATTAAGTCGGGGATCCCTAATCCCTCAAGTCAAAGTTAGACACAACCCTTACCTCAATCCGACGGCCAACTCAAAGCTCAATCACCGCTTTTCCCTTCACACAAGCCTCCAGACCAATAGAATCTAGCAAATTACTAACCAAACAATTCAATCTATGCATTAGGAACTACCCACGATTGCAAGGAATTTAATTTATGCCATTTTGGAAAAAGTCAACAAAAGTTAACACCCGGTCGCACTTGGTCCAAACCCGAAATTCGGACCAAAACCCGATTACCCATTCACCCCGGAGCCGGGATATATAATTGATTTTGGAATCCGACCTCAATTTGAGGTCTAAATCCCTAAATTTTGAAATTCCTAATTTCTACCCCAAAATCCCCAATTTCACCATGAAAACCTTAGATTCTAGGTTGAAATCTTGTAAAATGAAGTGAAAGATTGAAAGAAATGAGTTAAGAATCACTTACTATGATTTGGGGAAGAAATGGTCTTTGAAAAATCGCCTTTTGTGGTTTAGGTTTTGAAAATTTGGGAAATGAATTAAATATCCCGTCAAGTCCCTTTCACACAGCTGCAGATGTCGCATTTGCGACCTGAGCTTCGCAAATACGAAGCTCGCAAATGCGAAGGTAACATCGCAAATGCGAGGTCCTTCACACCTCTGCTGCTTTCACAATTGCGAAGGTATGTCCATAATTGCGAACTTGGTCCTCCGCAATGCGACAAAAAGATTGGCGATCACTGCCTGCCCAATCCTCACTTCGCAAATGCAAGGACTCCTCGCAATTGCGAGGTCTGCCCGACCCAGCTACTCTTAGAATTTGCGATGAAGCCTGCAACAAGATCAGTTATACCAGCAAAATTTTCCTAAGTTCAAAACACCTCGTAGCCTATCCGAAACACACCCGAGCCCTCGGGGCTCCAAACCAAACATGCATACAGGTCTTACAACATCATATGAACTTGCTCGTGCGATCAAATCACCAAAATAACACTTACAATTACGAATTTAGCACCAAATCACATGAAATTCTTAAGAACACTTTGAAATTCCTATTTTCTCAATCGGATGCCCGAATCACATCAAATCAACTCCAATTTTTACCAAATTTCACATGCATGACTTATATAATATTTTAAACCTGTACCGTGCTCCAAAACCAAAATACGAGCCCGATACCAACGAGATCAAGAATTAATCAAATTCTTTAAGCTATTAGATTTTCAGACTTACAATTTTTAACAAAAATTTATTACTCGGGTTAGGCACCTCCAAATCCGATTCCGGACATATGCCTAGGTCCCATATTTCAATACGGACCCACTGGAACTGTCGAAATACGAGTTCGGGCAAGTTTACGAAAAACGTTGACCGAAGTCAACTAAATCAACTTTTAAAGGCAAAAATTATTATTTTTCTCAACTTTCCACATAAAAGCTTTCCGGGATTACACCCGGACTGAGCACACAAATCGAGGAGGGATAAAATGAAGTTTTGAGGGCCTCGGAACACATAATCGAGTTCTAAATCATAAGATGACCTTTTGGGTTATCATATTCAGAGAGTACTAAACTTTCAAAGGACTAGATTCTTGTGCTTTGTGCATCTGGCGTTCCTTTTCATACTAGCAGTAATTAAATTGTCATGACCCAAATTCCATCATAAGTCGTGATGGCGCCCAACTTAGTGGTTAGGCAAGCCAACCCTAAACAAATAGTGAGTGCTCATTTATTTTACCGAAATAAGTCCCAACATTTTTAAATCTTAAACTTGTAAACAGTCGATAATGGACAAGTAATAATAATAGAAATATATTCCCTAAAATAATAGTCTACAATGTGTGTGCTAGGAACTAGTGTCACAAGTCCTAGGGTAACTAGTAGGATGTAAAAAAGAATACATCTATCCTACTTCCTGAAACAGAATAGACAGTAACAATAAGAGAAGAGACTCTGGCATGCTGCTGAACAGCTGAGAAGGGGGCAGCTCACCGTGGAACCTCGGTCAAGTATCAGGAATGCGCGCCGAACTGGTAGCTAGATGCACTTGCCTCAGATCTTGTACATTTAAGTAAATAAGCGTAGTATGAGTATATGAACAATATGTACCTAGTAAGTATCCATTCTAACCTCGAAGAAGTAGTGACGAGGGGTCGACTTGACACTTACTAGGGTCAACAATGATATCATTTAAGTGTTACGCTAAGAATGGATGTCATGAATAAATACAGTTGATAACAGGAGGTGACAAGCTCTTTCATAGATAACATTTCAGTTAACAATCTATATTTCAAGGCTTTTTAAACAGTTCAAATCACATAAGTACCAAGCAAGTAGCATGTGCAAATAATGCCGAGGTCGTACGGTCCGATCCAACATAAAATAAAATGTGCACTGCCGGAGGGTCGAACGGCGCGAACCATAGATGCATCTATTACCTACTCAGATAACATATCAAGCAGTCAATCAATAATTTATCAGGAAAACAATTATCCAAGATAATGTCAAACTTCTCTTTAACGGTCAAGAAAATATTGATTACTTTTTAGAAATTTATTTGCCAAGTTTGAATTGATTATGCAATTTAAATTTACCATAAAGTTACAAATACGGCAAGTAAGGCATGCTCTTGGGTCCTAAGTTACCCGGACTTAAGCATAATAGTAGCTACGCATGGACTCTCATCACCACGTACGTACGTAGCCCCCACAGACAATCACATACATTTATTTAATTCACCTAGGGGTTTATTTCCCTCTTACGAGGTTAGAAAGGAGACTCACCTTGCTCCAAAGCTTACTTCCAAATTCAAGAACGTGCTAAAAACCCTCGATTCGGAGCCGAACGATCCAAAACTAATCAAACGGGGTAAGAACTAGTACAAGCTCAAGAGTTCATATTCTAGCTATTAGAGTAATTTCCCAACCCTAAATGCAAAGTTCCTACAAATCACTGTCGGGCCCACGTGCCCGGATACTGGAAATTTTTGAAGAAAGTTGTTACCCATAACCTAAGGATCAAGAATATATGATTTTTACTCCATTCCCTAACAAATTTCGTGGTTAAATCTTGTTTTTATAAAATCCTAGGTTTTACTCTAATCCCATGATTTTCACTAATCTTTGTGTGTTAATCTACGCAAAAATCAAGTATTAAACTCACATTAAGTAGGAATAACTTACCTCAAAGTGCTAGGTTGAAATTGTCACGACCCAAACCGATGGGCCGCGACGGGTGCCTGAATCCTACATGTCGAATATCCTTAAGCAAGCATTTAAGATATAAACATGAATAGTGTACGTGAGGGAAATCTGTCCAAAAGACATATATACATAAACATGCGGAATACAGTGGGGCGAGCCAGCAAGGCTGCTATAGAAAACTATATATCCAAAAGTAACAACCGACAAGGCCACATACTATCCAACTGTACATAACTGTCTACAGACCTCTAATAAAAATAAACTGAATATATATATATATATATATATATATATATATATATATATATATACACGCGTATGGAGCACGCCAACTCTCGCTGATCAAGGATCCTAAGAAGGTGGACCGTCGACTTGCCTACCTGCACCTGCGGGCATGAAACGCAGGCCCCGGGAAATAGGGTGTCAGTACGAATAATGTACTGAGTATGTAAGGCATGAAAATCAGNCCCGACAAAAGTTACAAAGCCCGAAAGCCCATTCACTCATGAGTCTAACCATATCAAATTTATAAAAATCCAACCTCATTTGCTCACTCGAATCCTCAAAATCCACTCTCAAAATTTCAAGCCCTAAATTCCCAATTAGATGATGAATAATGTCACGACCAAAACCGATGGGCCGCAACGGGTGCCCGAGCCCTACCTGTCAGATACCCATAAGCATGCGACTAAGATATAAACATGAATAATTTCTGCGGAATTATAAGAATAACATGCGTGAAGAAGACCTATCCAAAGGACATATATACATATATGTGCTGAATAAAGTGGGCGAGCCGGCAAGGCTGCTATACTATAGACAACTACCCAACTATACATGACTGTCTACAGACCTCTAATAGAAATACAACTGTACAAAGATGGGAATGAGCCACGTCATACCCATATATATACAAGCATATCATAACAAACTCAAAAGCAGCTCCCGATCAAGTGGAGCACGCCAACTCTCGCTGATCAAGGATCCTAAGAAGGGGGACCGTCGGATTGCCTACCTGCACCAGCGGGCATAAAATGCAGGCCCCGGGAAATAGGGAGTCAATACAAATAATGTAATGAGTATGTAAGGCATGAAAATCAATACATAAAAGACATAGATGAAACATGGAATAAAGAAATCCATCTGTAAGTTTAGATAACTTTATAAATTTTGAAACATTTATAATGTCATGCACGTGCATATAAATGCCGTGTCATGCATAGGTATAGGTGTACATAATACCTTAAACCCTCTGAGGGAATCCCATCATATCGTCTCGGCCACTGTGGAAAACATCTTCAACATATACCAACTGATCAGGTGGTGGTGCGTATATAACGCCGTAACCTTTTCTCATATCACATATACATATATATCATGGTCAATGTACATGTATAAATGCATTAAATGCATAAGAAATATGTTAATAAGATTTTCTCGGAATGCCATAAAAATCAATATACATTTTGGATAAACTTTATCAAATACGTATTTTTCTGAGACCCATGAACCGAAGATATAATAATTCACATGGGGAATCAAAAATATAGACACCCCATAGTATTTTTAAGAATAGAGTTATTTATGAAAGTTGCGTATTTTGCTCGTTTCATTTGTATTATTTGGATCATGCCTAAGAGAAAGAAGGGATAGCCTTAACATACCTCGAGTAGGGAAAAATTCGTAGAATATTTCTTGGAAAAGTCATCTTGGTCTCGACCTTGTTGAGCTCTCCCTGATCGAAAGTTCCTATTTTGCTGCCTCTTCGATCGTCTCCGACTCCCTAATACATAAGAGTACTTGGTGACCTAGATGGTCTTTTTTTTTATCGCCTTATTTCATTCACTGATTTCTTTAATTCATTTCTCTTTTATGAATAGTTGGTTGTGTTGGATGATTGATGGGTAGTTTGAAGGACGAATGCTGGAGGGCAGCTTTTTAGAGCGGGCGCTCTGTCCGGTATTTTTGATGTTTATGTTTGTATTTGTTCTGTAGTTGGATCAGCCGTTTTCCTTAGTATGTCGAGGGTGGATTAATGAATGACTGCTTTAGCTCTCAACAGGTTCCCTTTCTTTCGAAATGGCATTGCCAAAAGTCGAATCAAAGGCTTGAGAGGAGTTACAGTCTTTTTTGATAAAATGAATGCGGATTGCCGAGGGAGCAACCCCATTTTTCACCTTGAATTGGTCAAAATATGCGAAATTTCTTACTTTTCGTGGAGGATTAGATCCTGTACTGGGGTCTGTGGCTGACTGATATTGCCCATCGCCATTTAGCTATTGCATTTATTTTTCTCGTTGCTGGTCATATGTATAGAATCAATTTCGGGATTGGGCACAGTATGAAAGATCTTTGAAATCCTTGATAGCGAAATATAAGGGACTAGTTCCTAAGAGATTCCCCACGTATAGGCTGTCCTGGCTCGTTAGGTCCCAAGAATCCAAAGGATACAAGCTTCTCAAGTCCCGTGTGGAAGGGCTCTCGCTCAACGGATCAAAGGTACGCCTGGGATAACAGGCTGATCTATGAAACTACAGCCGAACCAAATGGGAATCCTAGGTATAGGCAAAGGTGGGAGGGATGAGAGAGCAAGCTGGCGTGGGGGCAAGGGCAATAACATCCGAGCAACGCAAGCCCTAGAAATCGATTGCACCGTACTCCTTTAGAACAACATAATTTTACATTGCTGTGGTTTTAACAATTCTCGTTGGAATTGTTTGGTTGCAAGAATTTTTATTGAAATCTTGCTGGATTGGTTTTGAACCGTGATACCTATGAAACAAATTCTGGTTTGAAGAAAGTTTCGTTGTTCATGAAGTGGTGTAGGAATTTTTTGTAAGAATTATGCTACTAACGTGCCCAGGCTTTCTCTGATTGTAGTGTCGAAATTATTTAGAAAATGAAGTAGTGTTGCTCATGTTTTCAAGATATGAAGTGTTGCCTTTAATTATTCATTTGATTAAAATATTGAATTTATTTGAAATGAAGTAGTGTATGTATATCACCTTAGTTGCCACCTAAGGTTATATAACTACTTAGTCATTTGTATCAAGAGTGGATTATTGCCACATTTTGGGTGGGGGTTTTGGTCTTATCTGATAATTTACTACTTATTTAGGTAATGTCTCGTTACTCGATAATTAACCAATTACCCGCATAATTAAGAATTATCTCAATTTACTTAAAATTCTACTTATTTTTAATACACTTTATACATCATCCTATCATGGTCGTACGGTACCTTGTATGGTACTAGTCCATAAATATCGAGTATTATCGCTCGACCCGTATTTTATTCCAAATCGGCAACCTTCAACGACTCTCGTTTTCTTCAATTCGTGTATCCTTTATCCTTCATGACATTTACTTATTGCTTGTTATAAATAGCATAAATACGTTAACCTCAGGATAATCTCGTCCCCGAGTCTAAGTCGGTTAACTAAAGACGAAACTTTAACGTACGAAACACGAGATGTAACATCCTTCTCCCTTAGAAACATTCATCCTCGAATGTTCAACTCCCCGGGATCTATATAAATTTGGCAGAGTCGCTTTTGTAACAACACTACTACCAACTCTTCCCGTAGAAACTCAATAATTCAACGCTACATAGTACCACGGTCATCAATAGAGACAATGGCCTTACACGACCAATGATAATAACTAACACAAAAATCCATACACGTACCTTAAGGTTATGACGTCTCAGTCGGACCCTTCTATGGAGGAGGAAATAAGTAGGGATATCTAGACTCCATGGCTTCCTTGGCCTCCCAAGTCATTTCTTCCACATTGTTGTTTCTCCAAAGTACTTTCACCGAAGCTACGTCTTTAGTTCTCAATCCCCGAACCTTTCTGTCTAATATAGCAATGTGAGTTTCTTCATATGATAGTTGCTCTGTGACCTGAACGTCATCAACTGACATAACTCTGGAAGGATCTCTAATATATTTATGGATCATAGACACATGAAAGACTGGATGTACAGATTCCAAGTCAGAAGGCAAGTCTAACTCATATGCTACCTGGCTTACCTTGCGTATGATCTTATATGGTCCAATGTACCGAGGGCTAAGTTTTCCCCTTCTTCCGAACCTCATAACGCCTTTCATCGGTTATAAGTTTAGGAATACAAAATCGTTAACCTAAAATTCCAAGTCTCGTCGTCGATTATCCGCATAAGACGTCTGACAGCTTTGAGCTGCTAATAGCCTTTCCTGTATAAGCTTAATTTTCTCGATTGCTTGTTGTACCAATTCTGGTCCTACTAACGTAGTTTCCCCAACATCGAACCACCCTATAGGCGACCTACACTTCCGTCCGTAAAGAGCTTCGTATGGAGCCATCTGAATACTTGAATGGTAGCTATTATTATATGCGAACTCAATAAGTGGCAGATGATCATCCCAGCTACCTTCGAAGTCTATCACACAAGTTCGTAACATATCCTCAAGTGTCTGAATAGTACGCTCAGCTTGTCCGTCTGTCTGGGGATGAAACGTTGTACTAAGACTTACCTGAGTCCCCAATCCTTTTTGGAAGGACCTCCAGAAGTTAGTTGTAAATTGAGCTCCTCTATCCGAGATAATAGATACAGGGACACCATGCAGTCGTACTATCTCCTTAATATAAAACCTTGGATAATCCTCTGCGGAATATGCAGTCCTAACGGACAGAAAATAGGCTGACTTTGTAAGCCTATCAACAATCACCCATATCTAATCGAACTTACGCTGGGTGTGAGGTAAGCCTACGATGAAATCCATATTGATTTCTTCCCATTTCCAAGTCGGAATCTCCATAGCCTGCAATAATCCACCGGGTTTCTGATGCTCAATCTTAACTTGCTGACAGTTAGGACACTGAGCAACAAACTCTGCTATATCCTTTTTCATTCCGTCCCACCAATATACTTCCTTGATATTATGATACATCTTTTTTTCACTCCTGGATGGATAGAATAACGAGAATAGTGAGTTTCTCCCATAACCTGCCGACGCAGCCCTGCAACATTAGGGACACATAATCGTCCTCGATATTTGAGACTCCATCTCATGTAACCTCAAACGGTGTCTTCTCCTTCTTAGGGGTGGTATCTCTATAATGAACTAACACAGGATCCTCGTACTGGCATTCCTTCACTTAAGTTACTAACGAGGATGTTGCCGTATCCTGAATAGTAATTCCAATATCACCTGAGTCCAGCAATCGAACTCCAAGACTAGCTAGCTAATGAATCTCATGGGCTATTCCCCTCTTCTCTGGCTGTAAATATGACTAGCTACCCATAGAACGGCTGAAGTCATTGGCTACTACGTTCGCTTTCCCTGGATGGTATGAAATATCAACATCATAATCTTTAAGTAGCTCCAACCACCTCCTTTGACGTAAATTCAATTCCTTGTGCTTGAAGATATATTGGAGGCTCTTATGATCCATATAGATATAAACATGAATGCCATACAAGTAGTGCCTCTACATCTTTAGTGCATGAATCACTGTGGCTAACTCTAAATCGTGGGTCGGGTAATTCTTCTCGTGCTTTCTCAGTTGTCTAGAAGCATAAGCTACAACCTTACCATGCTGCATCAGTACACAACCCAACCCAACGCCCGAGGCTTCACAACAGATAACATAACCATCGGTCCCTTCTGGGAGCGTCAAAACAGGTGCAGAAGTCAATCTGTCCTTCAATGCCTGGAAACTCCGTTCGCAGGCATCAGTCCATTAAAACTTTGTCCCTTCTAAGTCAACTTTGTTAAAGGTGCTGAAAGGGAAGAAAATCCCTCCAGAAATCTGCTATAATAGCCTGCCAAACCGAGAAAGCTACGAGCCTCCGTCGGTGTTGTGGGTCTAGGCCAAGTCTTTACTGCCTCAATCTTTTGTGTATCCACCCGGATACCTTCACCCGAAATGATATGCCCAAGGAAAGCTACAGAGTTCAACCAGAATTCACATTTAGAGAAATTTGCATACAACTTCTCTTTGTGTAGAACTCTAAGCACAGCACGCAAATGATCTGCATGCTCAGCCTCTGACCAAGAATATACCAATATATCGTCGATAAATACAATTACGAACAGATCTAAAAAGGGCCTGAACACACGGTTCATCAAATCCATGAATACTACTGGGGCATTGGTCAAACCGAACGACATAACATGAAACTCAAAGTGCCCGTATCTGGTCCTGAATGCTATCTTTGGAATATCTTCCTCCTTAACCCTTACCTGATGGTATCCGGACCTTAAGTCTATCTTTGAAAAACACTTGGCACCTTGCAATTGATCAACATAAATCGTCAATCCTCGGGAGCGGGTACTTATTCTTGATCGTCACCTTATTCAACTGTCTATAATCAATATACATCCGTAAGGAACCATCTTTCTTCCTCACAAATAACACAGGTGTTCCCCATGGTGATGTACTATGATAAAGCCTTTTTCAAGAAAATCCTTTAGTTGTTCCTTCAACTCTTTCAGCTCTGCGGGGGCCATTCTATAGGGAGGAATAGATATTGGATGAGTATCTGGTAGTAGGTTAATAGCAAACTCAATTTCTCGCTCTAGAGGAAGACCCGGAAGTTCATCAGGAAACTCATTCACCACAAGGATGGACTGAATGGTTGGTGACTCTACTTCCATATCCTGAACCCGAACTAAGTGATAAATACAGCCCTTTCTGATCATCTTCCTTGCCTTGAGATAAGAAATAAATCTACCTCTCGGCGACGCTGTATTACCTTTCCACTCCAAAACGGGCTCCCCTGGAAATTGAAATCGGACTATCTTTGATCTACAATCAACGTTGGCATGACAAGAAGCCAACCAATCCATACCCATTATAACATCGAATTCTACCATATCTAACTCGATTAGGTACGCTACGGTAGATCGACTATGAACTACCATTATACAATCTCTATATACTTGCTTAGTTATCACTGAGTCCCCAACAAGTGTAGACACCTCAAAAGGTTGAACCAATTCAGGTTTTATTCCAAACTTACTAATGACCAACGGAGTAACATATGATAAGGTGGAACCTGGGTCAATCAGTGCATATACATCATATGAGAAGGCTGATAATATACCTATAACAACATCAGGTGATGACTCCTGATCCTGTCGTCCTGCCAACGCATAAATGCGATTCTGAGGACCGCTCGAGCTAGATGCTCCGCCTCTGCCTCTACCACGACTCATTGGTGCTTGTGAACCTTGCCTAGGGGGGCGTACTGATGATGACGAACCAGCTACAGATCCCGCTGGCTGAGTTATGCTTGCCTCACCTCTCGTCGGATAATCCCTTATAATGTGGCCCAGATAACCACAAGTATAACAAACACCCAATCCCATACGGCACTGCCCGGCATACTGCTTACCACACTTAGCACATCGTGGCAAGGGCGACCTCATCTGACTTGATTCTCCCCTATACTGAGATCCTGAGGCCCTGCAATTTTGACCCGGCCCTGAATATGTGGAACGTCAAATATCTTACCACTGAATTGAGGGGGTGCGCTAGTCGATGGCCGGGCTAGATACCTCGGGTACTGTTGCCTCTAACCACCTCGAAACTCACCAGAAGGACCCAAAGACCTCACTCTCTTATTATGGGCCCTATTATGCTCACGATCCATCCTCTGCTTCTGCTTACGCTCCTCTAAACCTTGAGCGTATGCCTGAATACAAGAAATATCCATGTCTGGCTGAAGTGAGACCGACATACAATTGTTAAGCAAGTGCGGCTCTAATCCCATCACGAATCGGTGAACCCGATCCTCCATCTTAGATACAATAGTGGAAGCATACCTAGCCAACTAACCAAACTGAAGACTGTACTCCCGAACACTTATTTCACCCTGCCGAAGGGTCAAGAACCTACCAACTCTGGCTTGTCTAAGTTCTAGTGGCAGATAATGACGAAGAAAAGCTTCCGTAAACTCTTGCCATACTGCTGGAGGGGCATCCTCACCTCTGGACAATTCCCAAGACTCATACCAATTAACTGCAACATCTCGGAGTCTATAGGAAGCTAGCTTAACTGAATCAGTCGCAGTGGCCTTCATTACCCTTAACGTCCTCTGCATTCTATCAATAAATACCTGAGGGTCCTCGTTTGGATCTGCCCCGGTGAATACCGGAGGATCCAAATTAATGAAATCATGAACCCTTGCACTGACACACCTATCTGCATAACCAATACCTTCTTCCTGATGCCGAGCCTGCGCAGCTACTAATCGAGTTAATAGCTGAATAGCAACTCTCATCTCCTGTCCCGATGTCACGACCCAATTTTCCCTCCGTTGGGTTTCGTGATGGCACCTAGTCTTAGGGACTACGTAAGCCTAACATTTAATGAATATTAACCACAATAAAGAAAGTCTAACAGTTTCAACATAGAAATATTTATGAAATTTACATCTTCCCAAAACTGACGGTACAAGCCATAAGCTCTACTGAGTTTCGCCACAGCTACTAACGAACAAAACCTGGATCTGCACAAAAACAAATATGCAAAAGTGTAGAATGAGCACACCACAGCGGTGCCCAGTAAGTATCAAGACTAACCTCGGTGGAGTAGTGACGAGGAACAATCAAGACATCTACTGGATTAATAAACAGAACAAGTACAAGTATTGGAACAACAGAACATGATATTTATATGGAGACTACGCGATACGGCTAACAATACAGTAATTGCAATAAGGAAAGAAAATAGCAAGAACTCAGTGGAACACCATAAAGAAAACACGGAAAGGTAAACGAGAATACAACCCAAATCCGAAATCACAAATATATTAAAGACCAGTCATAACTCAACAACTCCAATAGTTTTCACCTTAAGTCTTAACCAGCAAACGTCAATCAAATAGTCAAACCTTTCAAGTGATAAAAAAAATATTTTAAAATATACTTCCTTCAAATAAATGTTCTTTTCAAAAATAGTTCTTCCAAGATAAATACTTTTTGAACATAATCCTTTTCAAACAAATATTCATCGAATATAAGTCACCCAGTGACATTTCAAAATAGTTAATTCAAAATAAGTACCTTCAAATATAATCTTTTCAAATAGATAACCTTCGAATATAAACTTGTCAAATAGATAACCTTCGAATATAAGTCACCCTGTGACACCTCGTCTCATATTCATACAATACGGGTCTCAGTACTGGAACCCTAACACTTGGCATTATGTTCTCTCATCACACATCATAATCATACTAAAAACTCACGTGCCAAATGGAGCCACACTCACATGGAAGGCCAATAAACAAGGGTGTGCGTCTATACTCGATAATTCCAAGAAGCCTCCTATCCGATTAGGGTGCTTAGCCACGTGTATGCTTGTGCAAGTGTCTAAAAAGAGTTCATACTAGCCACTAAGTATAAGGAATAAAACGGACAGCACATATAATGCTTACACAGGGATAGGATCAATGAAAACAACAGCTCAGAACACAGTGATTTTTAACAGGGGATCTCCCATGATATCGTCTCGTAGTCCCAAGCGTAAATGTGCAGAGGATCTCCCTGGATATCTTCCCATAGTCCAAATCATAAATATGTAGGGGAATCTCCCGGAATACCGGGATCTCCCGGGATATCATCCCGTAGTCCCAATTATAAATGTGCAGGGGGATCTCCCGAAATACCGATCCGTAGTCCCAAAGTAAACATGCAAGGGCATCTCCCGTAATACCGTTCCGTAGCCCCAAAGTAAATACGCAGCGCAACCAACAGAAATAACAGTTAGAGCACAACAGAAAGCTCGTACATCACCACAATACGTATAACAACAACAATGGGAATAATACAAGGTAGACAAGTAAATCAACTCAAGGACTATAAATCACAAGGAAACGATGCACTAGCTCACAAGGAATAACCACAGAAAAGAATGTTGGCATAAAGGGAACAGTTCAACAACGGGAAAAACTAACATGTAGCAACGATCCCACAATATACAAGTCAATAACAAGGAAATCAACACGAGCCAAGTAGTCCCAAATAAAGGCAAGTCAACAAGGATATAGGTTATCTAAACTCCTTTTAAGGTTGGACACTTTTAGAGGATATTCGACAATTCAATTAAGGAAAGATGATCTTAGCTTCACTTAAGACTAAACAATTTCAGGAGGGATAATAATAATTCTCAAATAAGACAAGCAGCTATGAAAAGATAGCATGACAATAGGAGAGGCGAAATTCTTTAATTAAATCAAATAGGAGTCAATTAGGCAATAAGAGTGAACCATGAAGTAACTAATTCCAATTAAGCATGTAGAGGTGAAACTAGTAAATAGGAAACTCAGTCATGTCAAGAACACATTCATACACAGTGAATATAAAGACCTAAGAACCCTAAAAGGCCAATTTTTCACAAATAAGTCCGAGCACGCACTCGTCACCTCGCGTAAAAGAACTACAATCAACATAAAAGACTCAAATCCTAAGTGGAAGTCCCCCACACAAGGTTAGGCAAGATACTTACCTCAAAGACGACAGACCGATACTCTAAAATGCACTTCTCGGGTGAAAAGACCTCCGGACGGCTCAATTCTAGCCAAATTAACTTCAAAGCACAAATAAAACACATAAGAAACTATTTCGGATCATAAAGTCTCAATTCTTAAAAAAATCCAAAAACCGGTCCAAAAGTCGACCCCCGCTCCCGCACCTCGGAACCCGGCAAATTTTATAAAACCTCCGATACGAGTTCACCCGTACAAAATTTATCAGATTCCAATACCATTTGGTCCTTCAAATCATCATTTTACATTTTTGAAAGACTTTAAAAATTCTCCCCAAATTCCATCCCAAATCACGAATCAAATGATAATTTCAATGATATACTCATGAATATTAGCCAAAACCGAGATAGAATTACTTACCCAGATGATTTTCTTGAAAAACTTTCGCAAATTTGCCTCAAACCGAGCTCCCAAGGTCCAAGATGTGAAATAAAACCCTAACCCTCGTTTATACAGTGTACTCTCTGATATCCGCTACGCTGACCACGAAAATCCAGGCGCGGCCGCGAAAATCCAACCCCCGCGGTCGCAAAAATTAGCGATGTCCGCGCTTATGGTGGCTGCAGTGACAGGCTTCAGTATTTTGGCCATAACTTTCTCTACAGATGTCTAAATGTTTATTTCTTTAGCTTTCTGGAAACTAGACATGAAGGGCTACAACTTTTATTTTTGAATCATCTCAAAATTGCTTGTAGATCAAAAGATATAGGCTTCTAAAGTCGGACTAACGAATCTGCAGATCTGCCCTGGAGCGCCTCCGCGACCAGATTTACGCTATCCGCGCCCCCTACTCCGCCCTCAGCAAAATTTCATCGCCCTCAGCGAAAATTCCTTCGCCCTCACAGAAAATGAAGCACCAGAACCATGCCTGAGTTCCGGTAATGCACGGACTCACTCAAAACTCACCCGAAACACACCTGAGGCCTCCGGAACCTCAACCAAATGTGTCATCAAATCCTGAAATACCATACTAACTCAATCGAGCTCTCGAATCACCTCAAACAATAACAAAAACATGAATCGCTCACCAATTCAAGCTTAATGGACTTGAAACCTCAAACTTTCATAACTGATGCCGAAACTTATCAAACCTCGTCCGATTGACCTCCAAATTTGCACACACATCACAAATGACATTACGAACCTACTCCGACTCCCAGAATTGCATTCCGACCCCGATATCACAAAAGTCAACTATGGGTCAAACTTTTCCATTTTCCCAACTTCAACTTTTCCAACTTTTGCCGAAATGCCTCAATTTACCCTACGGACCTCCAAATCTGAATTCGAACACGCGCCTAAGTCCAAAATCACCATACGAAGCTGCTGACATCATCCAAGACTCATTCCGGAGCCTTTTACTCAAAAGTCGAATTCCGGTCAAATTCTTGCCGTTTGAACTCCCAAATCTAGATTCCTTCTTCCAATTCAACTCCGAATCATCCGGTAACCTAATTCAACCATGCACACAAGTCGATGCTCATATTATGAAGCTGTTCCATACCTTACGCCGTCGAACGGAGCTTATTTTCTCAAAACGACCGGCCGGATCGTTACATCCTCCCCCTCTTAAAATAAACGTTCGTCCTCAAACGTGCCAAGATTCGGCTCGAAGCCCTCAAATTGCTGAATGCACACTTCCAACATACACCCACGGGTGATCCCACGTCACCCCAATCCACATAAACCTGACGACACCATCTCAACTGAAATTTGCTTTTCTACCATGTCACGACCCAAACCGATGGGCCGCGATGGGCACCCGTTACCTTACTCAACCGAGTACCGATATAACGTATCTTTTCATGTCATACTATCATAGATAACTGAGCCGGAAGGCTGCTGTGAGATAAGTAGAATACAATATGTGATACCAACTTATACATAAGACATACGGGCCTATAAGGCCAAAATAACCACTCGTACACTGAACATAGGCCGATAAGGCCATACAATCTTTTACGTACATGACATCTGTCTACAAGCCTCTAAGAATACATAATTTTCATAAAGGTCGGGACAGAGTCCCGCCATACCAAACAATACACATCTAAATAATACTAACCAGACAAGCAACTCCGCAGCAAATGGAGCGCACCAACATCTTCCGCTAAGCTGATAGCCTACTTCGAGCGCTCTCGAACTGTCTATCGGGACTTGCGGGCATGAAACGCAGCGTCCCCGGGCAAAAGGGACGTCAGTACGAATAATGTACCGAGTATGTAAGGAATGAAAAATCTGCAAATAATAGACATAAGAGAAACATGGAGTAAAAGACTCGACATGTACTTTTGCATAGCTCTGTGAATCATTTTATTGTTATGATGTCATGCATATACGTATAAATGTCATACCATGCATGGGTATATGCATTCATAACATCATCAAGCCTCTGAGGGCATCCCATCATATCATTTCAGCCACTGTGGACAAATCATCAAGTATACCAGCTGATCAGGTGGTGGTGCGTATATAACGCCGTAACCTTTTCCCATATCCCATATACATATGATATACATATATAAGCGTATATAATGCCATCTGGTCATGGTTCAATGTACATGAATGCAATGCATGAAAAGTACGTTAATAAAATCTTTCGGAGTGTCATAAGATAATTTTGCCTTTGAATAATACCTTAAAGTAAACTTTATCAACTTATGTATTTTCTGAGACCCATGAACAGTTGATAGAATAATATGACACATGGGGAATCAAGAACATAAGCATCT